TCACAAAACTCCCATACTACTGAATCTAAGTTCAGCATAAGAAAATCCCCGACTGTGATAATACACAGATACCAGTACAAGTTAGGTCAGAAGCTACAGCTCAGGACCTGAGTTGCTCAGAGTGTCTTTGCGACACACAACCTCAGTACAATGTCGAAAATCACTAAGTCTATACAATGTTCTGTGAACAGAGTTCTACAGAACTAACAAGACAGCTACAGAGACGATCTTCCAACAAGGGCCTATAAGGGAGATTTAGGCACTTGTCAGGGATACGTCCAACCACCAAGAGAGTCTAGACCAGACTGAATACTACAGGCGAGGTGTGGACACCCCCCCCTCAATCACGTGATAGCTCCGTGGACAGTTGCTGCCCAGCAACAGAAGCCGGCAGGGAAACGAGCCACAAGCGATAATTACAGTAGTTAGACAATCAAGACTTGAACTGAGCACATAATACATGTAATATGTTACATCCTAACAACATAACTAAGTCAAATAATAATATAAAGCAATACATTTACAATTTAGCTATTATCGCAAATATAAGCAATATAAAATTATATGAAAAAGGTAATATACATAATAATATACATTATATAAATTGTAACCCATTCAGGGGTTGCAACATGCAACATTTGGGAATCTTAATCATGGAAACGTTTCGCCAGCCAGTGGTTTCTTAAGCCACTGGCTGGCAATTGTATTTAGTTTATAAGTACCAAAATTATTATCTTTTCAGAGGATTATAACATCACATTTGTATTCATTAAAATGCCTTTGCTATTTTTCCAACCACAACAACCTATCTAGATTCACAGTACACAGATAACCCGCACATAGAAGAGAGGAGCTTATGACAACGTTTCGGTCCAACTTGGACCATTTACAAAGTCACACTAAAGAAAAGGAGAGGAGGAGTATATATAGGCCAAGAGGTGGTAGTGGTAGTAGTGGAGGTAGAAGGTTGTAATGGTGGTGGTTACCTCCACTGTTACCACTACCACCTCCTGGCCTATATACAGTGGACCCCCGAGTTTCGTGATTAATCCATTCCAGAGAGCCCGCCGAAGGTCGAAATTCACGAAACTCGAAACCATTTTTCCCATAAGAAATAATGGAAATAATGGCAAGAATATTCATGCACTGGTCAGGGAGGTATACCATCTTTTAGGAGTGAAGAAGAGCAGAATGTAAGTGTGGGGAAGGTACGTGAGGCATTACATAGAATGAAAGGGGGTAAAGCATCTGGAACTGATGGGATCATGACAGAAATGTTAAAAGCAGGGGGGGGATATAGTGTTGGAGTGGTTGGTACTTTTGTTTAATAAGTGTATGAAAGAGGGGAAGGTACTTAGGGATTGGCAGAGAGCATGTATAGTCCCTTTATATAAAGGGAAAGGGGACAAAAGAGATTGTAAAAATTATGGAGGAATAAGTTTATTGAGTATACCAGGAAAAGTGTACGGTAGAGTTATAATTGAAAGAATTAGAGGTAAGACAGAATGTAGGATTGCGGATGAGCAAGGAGGATTCAGAGTGGGTAGGGGATGTGTAGATCAAGTGTTTACATTGAAGCATATATGTGAACAGTATTTAGATAAAGGTAGGGAAGTTTTTTGCATTTATGGATTTAGAAAAGGCATATGATAGAGTGGATAGAGGAGCAGTGTGGCAGATGTTGCAAGTATATGGAATAGGTGGTAAGTTACTAAAAGCTGTAAAGAGTTTTTATGAGGATAGTGAGGCTCAGGTTAGGGTGTGTAGAAGAGAGGGAGACTACTTCCCGGTAAAAGTAGGTCTTAGACAGGGATGTGTTATGTCACCATGGTTGTTTAATATATTTATAGATGGGGTTGTAAAAGAAGTAAATGCTAGGGTGTTCGGGAGAGGGGTGGGATTAAATTATGGGGAATCAAATTCAAAATGTGAATTAACACAGTTACTTTTGCTGATGATACTGTGCTTATGGGAGATTCTAAAGAAAAATTGCAAAGGTTAGTGGAAGAGTTTGGGAAGGTGTGTAAAGGTAGAAAGTTGAAAGTGAACATAGAAAAGAGTAAGGTGATGAGGGTATCAAATGACTTAGATAAAGAAAAATTGGATTTCAAATTTGGGAGGAGGAGTATGGAAGAAGTGAATGTTTTCAGATACTTGGGAGTTGACATGTCGGCGGATGGATTTATGAAGGATGAGGTTAATCATAGAATTGATGAGGGAAAAAAGGTGAGTGGTGCATTGAGGTATATGTGGAGTCAAAAAACGTTATCTATGGAGGCAAAGAAGGGAATGTATGAAAGTATAGTAGTACCAACACTCTTATATGGGTGTGAAGCTTGGGTGGTAAATGCAGCAGTGAGGAGATGGTTGGAGGCAGTGGAGATGTCCTGTCTAAGGGCAATGTGTGGTGTAAATATTATGCAGAAAATTCGGAGTGTGGAAATGAGGAAATGGTGTGGAGTTAATAAAAGTATTAGTCAGGGCAGAAGAGGGGTTGTTGAGGTGGTTTGGTCATTTAGAGAGAATGGATCAAAGTAGAATGACATGGAAAGCATATAAATCTATAGGGGAAGGAAGGCGAGGTAGGGGTCGTCCTCGAAAGGGTTAGAGAGAGGGGGTAAAGGAGGTTTTGTGGGCGAGGGGCTTGGACTTCCAGCAAGCATGCGTGAGCGTGTTAGATAGGAGTGAATGGAGACGAATGATACTTGGGACCTGACGATCTGTTGGAGTGTGAGCAGGGTAATATTTAGTGAAGGGATTCAGGGAAACCGGTTATTTTCATATAGTCGGACTTGAGTCCTGGAAATGGGAAGTACAATGCCTGCACTTTAAAGGAGGGGTTTGGGATATTGGCAGTTTGGAGGGATATGTTGTGTATCTTTATACGTATATGCTTCTAAACTGTTGTATTCTGAGCACCTCTGCAAAAACAGTGATAATGTGTGAGTGTGGTGAAAGTGTTGAATGATGATGAAAGCATTTTCTTTTTGGGGATTTTCTTTCTTTTTTGAGTCACCCTGCCTCGGTGGGAGACGGCCGACTTGTTGAAAAAAAAAAATTGATCCGTTCCAGATACCCAAAATTATTAAAATAAAATATTCTTTTTCAAATTAAATAAAGATTTACATAATGAAAACAATCAGAAATCAAGTACATGCATTTAAAAAATAATAATAACATTACACTTACCTTTACTGAAGACTTCTGCGTGGATGGAAGACGGGAGGAGGGGATAGGAGGAAGGTGTACACTATTGTTCGAAAGGAGAATCTCCTTCCATTAGGATTTTAGGTAGCAAGTCCTTATCTGGGGTTACTTCCTTTCTTCTTTTAATGCCACTGGGAACAACTTGAGAGTCACTGGACCCCTGTCGCACAAAATATCTGTCCAGAGAGGTCTTTTTCTGGCATTTCTTTAATATTTTCCTGAAGTGGGACACAACACTGTCATTGTACATGTTGCAGATATGGCTTGTTTCAGCTTGGTCAGGGTGATACATTTCAGCAAAACTTTGCAACTCATTCCACATTCCACACATGTCTTTAATCACTGAAGAAGGCACCTCATCCCCTCCCTCTTCCTCCTCCTCTGAAGCAAGTTCCTCGGCTGTGGTCTGATGCTGTTCCAATTGAAGCTCTTGCAGTTCTTCAGTGGTTAGCTCTTCTCTGTGGTCCTCCACCAACTCTTTCACATACCCGTCACTCACTTTATTTACCAAAGGGCTTGCACTAGCTTTCCTTGGGTCCATGATAACTTATTTAGCAGTTGCAAGCACAAAAAACAATGGATTATTATGAAATGTATTGTATGAACCCACGGGGTGATGGTCACGTGTTGGTAAACAATGGCACACTGAGTGTGAATGGTGTGGGAGACTAGCTTGGTGTGCACGGTGACGGGCGGACGGGTACTGGACGGTCGCTGAAACACGAGTCTTTTCACGAAACTCGAGGCCAAATTTTTCAAAAAAAACTCGCCGAAGGTCGAATTTCACGAAAATCGAGGCTGCCGAAACTCGGGGGTCCGCTGTACTCCCTCCTCTCCTTTACTTTAGTGTGACTTTGTAAATTGTCCAAGTTGGACTGAAACATCGTCGTAAGCTCTCTTCTCTGTGCAAGTTATTTGTGTATCATTCCAGTCATGGTATTGTGCCTTTTTTTGTTATTTATTAACCTATCCAGGTTGTTCTGTAGCGCTTTAATGACCTCAACAGAAATTATTTGATGGCCTATTTTGGTCATTGACAAACTTGCTTATATCTGTATTTATTCCCTTGTTTTTATTGTTTTTGTAGATTGTTAACAACACAGGGTTCAATATTGACTGGTATTTGTAATAGGAACACACACACTGATTGTTTCTCCACTTATTCACACACTGTTACCTGTCAGTCAGACATGCTCAGTCCAGAAGATAATTTCTCCTATACTATGTGCCACTGCTTTCTTCATAAGTCTTCTGTTTAAAACCCTATCAAAGGCCATACAGAGGTCCATATATTTTCTTTTTTTTGACTTGAACATCCAACTGCCAAGGGAGGGTGATCCCAAAGAAGAAAACACATCGCCATCATTCATCTAGTCATTCTTTCCAGGAGTGTGCTGACACCACACTTCAGATTACCCTCTAACTGTAACATCTCCATCTCTCCTTCAGAGCACATGAACTGCCCTTCCCACCTCTGACACTCGTATCCATAAACACAATCTCGTATTCCTTATGATTTACCTGCCTCGAGTACCTTAATTAAAACCAGTAAATTCTCCGTTAAATTAAATACGTACTGTATTTTGGTCAGTGAGGTAACCCCTCTCTTTTTAATCATCTGTAAATGTCATTGGCTCTTTATGCTCATAGAGCTACAATGCATTATTTCTTGGTGAACTAATTGAACCCTCAGATGTCTCCCCACCACATGAAACTAGAAAATGAGTTAATGATGGAGATAGTGCATACACTAGTGATAATATTTAAAGTTTGTTATAAATCTTCAATTTCAGGACACAGCGGATCTTGACCTAACATTCGATCGGGTATACAAGTGGGTAGCCAACAGCACCCCAGATAAACATGCCTTTATTCAAGTGCTTTGGAAAGTAAGTTTTACATAATATTTCTTACAATAAGTTTTACATAATATTTCTTACAATAGATTCGTATCAGAAATTTAATAGAAATTCACTTAACACCTCCCAAAATCTTACCTCTAGGCACATAAATACTTAGTATAACCCACTTCTCATAACCCATTTTTATTGTAAACTACATCATCTTATTTCTCAATATTAACCAAATCTGCCAAAACATCTGCTAATTAGTCTTATCATGTGACCTCCTCTCTTTTAATTCTGCCATTCCATAAAGTATTACCACCTGCACCATTACTTGTAAGATAGATTTTGTGTGCAATTTCAAGCTTATTCTGCCAAACCCTACTCACTTGTACTAAGTTTAAATGAGATTGTATTAAGTTTAAATAAGATTGTAAAACAGCTAACCACTATTCCTTCTAGTTTTAAATATAGTTACTATGTACTATTATCTTGTCTAGTTTTAATTAGTTACTATGTATTAGGAATAGTTTGCCCAAAATGCCTCGCAAGATAATGGCTATCTTTGTACTTAGCAAATCAAAATTGTAATTACACATTACAACCTTTACAAAGAAATAAACTTTACTTTACTTTACTTTATCCCTTCTTTTTTTCCATAATTGTTCAATCAAGATTACCACTATCATGTTTTAGTTCTCATTCTTTCAGAAATGTAACGTAATCCTATCTACCTTTCCACCCTTCTTAATTTTGTTTCTTTTGATGCTAAGACATGCAGCTTCTTTTCATTCAGAACTTTATCACTTTGCTTTTTCTTAACATCCATAATACTTGCATATCCTGTAGTATATTCAAACAACACAGCTTTGAAATTCATTCTCCCTCTATTAATAATTGCTTTAATAATTGTTTACCTGGAATTCTAATAAAAAAGGAGGCTTAACCTTACTTAGTCAAACAAAAAATTTAATTAGAAATTACTGAATGCAAGTAATGTAATGATTCATGCAAAGAAAAATGAAGCAGAAATATTTTTAGGACTTCACTTGTTTTTCCTGGTGCTCAGCACCACTCTGAGAGGATTGTCAAGAAGTCATGACAGTTCATCCTCTCATAATCAATTTCATATTCAATAAATAACACACTAACTTCATGTCACATACATTCAACAATCAGATATGCCTACTCTGCCTTCCTCAATTCAGACTCATTCCATAATTCCTTAATTGACATGGATTTGCTGCATCATCTTGGACTCCTCAACATTTATGCTGATTTTGTCCCCCTCTGCCATATCTTTTTGCCTCTGCTGTGCAGCGCCAAATGACCCTTAGGATTTAGCACCTCAAATATTTTTTTTTTTTTGTAACAAGTTGGCCATCTCCTACCGAGGCAGGGTGACCCAAAAAGAAAGAAAATCCCCAAAAAGAAAATACTTTCATCATCATTCAACACTTTCACCTCACTCACACATAATCACTGTTTTTGCAGAGGTGCTCAGAACACGACAGTTTAGAAGCATATACGTATAAAGATGTACAACATGTCCCTCCAAACTCTCAATATCCTGAACCCTTCCTTTAGAGTGCAGGCATTGTACTTCCCATTTCCAGGACTCAAGTCCGGCTATATAAAAATAACCGGTTTCTCTGAATCCCTTCACTAAATATTACCCTGCTCACACTCCAACAGATCGTCAGGTCCCAAATACCATTCGTCTCCATTCACTCCTATCGAACACGCTCATGCACGCCTGCTGGAAGTCCAAGCCCCTCGCCCACAAAACCTCCCTTACCCCTTCCTTCCAACCTTTTCGAGGTCGACTCCTAGCCCACCTTCCTTGCCCTACAGATTTATACGCTCTCCATGTCATTCTACTTTGATCCATTCTCTCTAAATGACTAAACCACCTCAACAATCCCTCTTCAGCCCTCTGACTAATACTTTTATTAACTTCACACCTTCTAATTTCCACACTCCGAATTTTCTGCATAATATTTACACCACACATTGTCCTTAGACAGGACATCTCCTCTGCCTCCAACCACCTCCTCACTGCTTCATTCACAACCCAAGCTTCACACCCATATAAGAGTGTTCGTACTACTATACTTTCATACATTCTCTTCTTTGCCTCCATAGATAACGTTTTTTGTCTTTGCATATACCTCAAGCCTCGGTGGGATACGGCCGGTGTGTTGAAAGAAGATATACCTCAACACATCACTCACCTTTTTTCCCTCATCAATTCTATGATTAACCTCATCCTTCATAAATCCATCCGCCGACACGTCAACTCCCAAGTATCTGAAAACATTCACTTCTTCCATACTCCTCCTCCCCAATTTGATATCCAATTTTTCTTTATCTAAATCATTTGATACCCTCATCACCTTACTCTTTTCTATGTTCACTTTCAACTTTCTACCTTTACACACACTCCCAAACTCATCCACTAACCTTTGCAATTTTTCTTTAGAATCTCCCATAAGCACAGTATCATCAGCAGAAAGCAACTGCGTCAATTCTCTTTCTTAAAATTTTGAACACACAGTTAACAGCACTTTGTATACTGTATTTAAATATGAAAAGAGACCTGTTCCACCCAGTAAGTTTCAGGATTAAATTTAGTATGGTTAATAGAATATACTCTCTATCTACATGGGATGCCTTCCAAGAGAAGGTCACATTTGGTGAATTTCCAAGTATAAAATTTGAGCTTCATTCCAAGTATGGAACTTGTTCTTCAATAGGGAAAAGGGGAAGGATTTCTGGACTCTCGTGGCCCCTGCATTTGGACATTATCTATATATATCTATATATCAGTCAGATATATTAAGCTTTTATATATTTCATTTGTAGATGATGTTTAGTACCTATAATACAGTATGTAGGGATGAGTCATGAATCTGCAAACCCAACTTGTGAATAATTCTAACATCATGCACAAGCCACCATTCATAGATAATGCATGAAGATACATTAGTTGTGGATCTAAAGATCTGCCTCTCAGATAATGGGCAATAAGACATAAAACAAAACTCATGGATTGATGAATTCATGTAAGCAGATCTTGTTAATGCTGAGGGAGTACTCTCATATAAAGTATCTAGAATGATTTCTTTATTTAATTATAAATGTTTGTAGTATTTTTCTTGCTGTATATTGTACATGCACCCTTCTGGCAAGACAGTGATGGAGTGAATGATGGTGAAAGTTTTTCTTTTTCGGGCCACCCTGCCTTGGTGGGAATCGGCCAGTGTGATAATAAAAAAATAATAAAAAATAATATTGTACATGTATTTTGATCCTGTATTTTAAATGTTACAGCTATGTTGCCGGTACTTGCCAAAGCAGAAGCCCCAGTTCATAAACATCCCACCAGAATTGATTGAAGAGAACATTGATCTAGCTGAGAGTGGAGATGTTACTACTTCAGGTGAGTTAGGTGCCACTTTGACATGTGCATTTTATCAAGGCTTGTGTTGAAAACTTTAACAGTTATAAACTACTCTCTTTGTTTTTATTTGATAAATTTATTATTTCCCACTGTGGCAAGGTAACTGAAACACATACTTTTGTCTTTTCTTTCAACACACTGGCCATATCCCACTGAAGCAGGGTGGCCCAACAAGAAAAACAGAAGCTTCTTTTCATAACTTTAGTTATGTATACAGGGGTTACTAGCCCCTTGCTCCCAGCATATTAGTTGCCTCTTATGCCATGCATGGCTTACGGAGGAAGAATTCTGTTCCACTTGCCCATGGAGATAAGATGAAATAAACAACAACAAGAACTAGTAAGAAAATAGAAGAAAACCCAGAGTGGTGCGTGTGTTTGTGTATATATATATACAGTGGACCCCCGGTTCGCGAAGTCATCGGTATCCGATAAATCCGGTATCCGAAGCATTGTATCGCAAAAAATTTGCCTCGGGTCCCGTTACAAAACCCGGTATGCGATACGATTCATATGAGACGTGTCCACGTGTGGCCTGAACTGCCCCGTGTGTGCCAGTGTTTACAAGCCAGCCAGTGTGCGCGCATCTAAGGATACATTCGGTACATTCCATATTATCCATATTATCACTGTTTTTGGTGCTTGTTTCTCCAAAATAAGTCACCATGGGCCCCAAGAAAGCTTCTAGTGCCAACCCTGTGGTAAAAAGGGTGAGAATTAGTATGGAAATTAAGAAAGATTTTGAAGGGTTTGGGGCTAACCCTGAGAAGCCTATGCCAGTTGTGGAATCCATTGTGCCTACTTCAAAAATTAAGGAAATGTGTGCACAGTGGGTTGAATTGCAAACCTTTATGGATGAAAATCACCCTAACACAGCTATTGCAAGCCATGCTGGTGACTATTACACAGACAATGTTGTGAACCACTTTAGGAAAGTCATAAAAGAACGAGAGGTACAAGCCTCTATGGACAGATATGTTGTGCGACAGAAGTCCAGTGACTCTCAAGCTGGTCCTAGTGGCATTAAAAGAAGAAGGGAAGTAACTCTGGAAAAGGACTTGCTACCTCAAGTCCTAATGGAGGGGGATTCCCCTTCTAAACATTAAAAGCTTCAACACTCTCCCCTCCTCCCATCCCATCAATCATCACCAGATCTTCATTAAAGGTAAGTGTCAGTTATTCTATTGTGATTATTCTATTGTTATTATTGTTATTGTAATTATTCTATTGCATTAAACTTAATATTTCATGTGGTAAAAGTTTTTTTATTTCATACTTTTGGGTGTCTTGCACGGATTAATTTGATTTCCATTACTTCTTATGGGGAAAATTGATTGGCTTTCCCATAATTTTGCTTTACAATGAGCTCTCAGGAACGGATTAATAACGTGAACCGGGGATCCACTGTATATATATATATTTTTTTTTTAACAAACTGGCCGTATCCCACCAAGGCAGGGTGGCCCAAAAAGAAAAACAAAAGGTTCTCTTTTTAAATTTAGTATTTATACAGGAGAATGGTTTACTAGCCCCTTGCTCCCGGCATTTTAGTCACCTCTTACAACACGCATAGCTTACGGAGGAAGAATTCTGTTCCACTTTCCCATGGAGATAAGAGGAAATAAACAAGAACAAGATAGAAGGAAATTAGAAGAAAACCCAGAGGGGTGTGTATATATATGCTTGTACATGTATGTGTAGTATGACCTAAGTGTAAGTAGAAGTAGCAAGACATACCTGAAATCTTGCATGTTTATGAGTCAGAGAAAAGACACCAGCAAAATACATTCACTATCACTAATTCTTTAGCTGATGGAATTTATATGATGAACACAGACACAATTTACTATAGATGAAACTTATTAATTTGATGGTTTAAAACACTGATAAGATTATTAATAACCCATCTAAAGCTAGAATATTAACCCGTAAACGGTCCAAACGTATATGTACGTTCACTACCCCAGTGCCCCGAATATTTTGAAAAATAATTTTTTTTTTTTTTATTGAAAAAAAGCACATTTTTCTAAGTGTTATAGGATAAAAAAAAAATTTAGAGTCAGTACTTACCGAGATATGAGGCAGCAAAGTTGGCACTTGGGGATCACCTGATGGCAACATGGAGTGCTGCCGCTTGCAGAAGTGTTGCCGATATACCTTTTTTTTTCTGTTTTTCATATTCTTCTTCTTTCTTTCAACACACCGGCCGTATCCCACCGAGGCGAGGTGGCCCAAAAGGAAAAAACGAAAGTTTCTCCTTTTACATTTAGTAATATATACAGGAGAAGAGGTTACTAGCCCCTTGGTCCCGGCATTTTAGTCGCCTCTTACAACACGCATGGCTTACGGAGGAAGAATTCTGTTCCACTTCCCCATGGAAATAAGAGGAAATAAACAAGAATAAGAACCAGAAAGAAAATAGAAGAAACCCCAGAGGGGTGTGTATATATGTGCTTGTACATATATGTATAGTGTGACCTAAGTGTAAGTAGAAGTAGCAAGACATACCTGAAATCTTGCATGTTCATGAGACAGAAAATAGGACACCAGCAATCCTACCATCATGTAAAACAATTACAGGCTTTCGTTTTGCACTCACTGGGCAGGACGGTAGTACCTCCCTCGGCGGTTGCTGTCTACCAACCTACTACCTATGTTTTTTCATATTATTTTATATAATTTTCATGTTTTGACAATTACAGTTTATAGTAGTTCTTGTCATTTCATAACCAATCTTTGTTCTGACACTAGTATTAGGTACTGAAATTGTACTCACATTGTCACAAACACACTGACAGGTGGACATTTACACCTGCCTTGGCCATTTACTATTGTCTTGGAATATATACAAAGTATTTATATGTCCCAGCAATGTTTTGGAGGAGGAGGAGGAGGAAGAGATGGTGGAGATGAAGGAGATGGAGATGGAGGAGGAGATGATGGAGGAGGAGATGGAGATGAAGATGGAGATGGAGATGGAGGAAGAGATGGAGATGGAGGAGGAGATGGAGATGGAGGAGGAGATGGAGATGGAGGAGGAGATGGAGATGGAGGAGGAGATGGAGATGGAGGAAGAGATGGAGATGGAGCTGGAGATGGAGGAAGAGATGGAGATGGAGGAGGAGATGATGGAGGAGGAGATGGAGGAGGAGGAGATGGAGGAGGAGGAGGAGATGGAGATGGAGATGGAGGAGGAGATGGAGATGGAGGAGGAGGAAGAAGAAGAGGAGGAGGAGGAAGAAGAGGAAGAAAAAGAGGAGGAGGAAGAAGAAGAGGAAGAAGAAGAGGAGGAGGAGGAAGAAGAGGAAGAAGAGGAGGAGGAGGAGGAAGAAGAAGAGGAGGAAGAAGAAGAGGAGGAAGAAGAAGAGGAAGAAGAGGAGGAAGAAGAAGAAGAGGAGGAGGAGGAAGAAGAAGAAGAGGAGGAAGAAGAAGAAGAGGAAGAAGAAGAGGAGGAAGAAGAAGAGGAAGAAAAAGAGGAGGAGGAAGAAGAAGAGGAAGAAGAAGAGGGAGGAGGAGGAAGAAGAGGAAGAGAAGAAGAGGAGGAGGAGGAGGAAGAAGAAGAAGAGGAGGAAGAAGAAGAAGAGGAGGAGGAAGAAGAAGAGGAGGAAGAAGAAGAGGAAGAAAAAGAGGAGGAGGAAGAAGAAGAGGAAGAAGAAGAGGAGGAGGAGGAAGAAGAGGAAGAGGAAGAAGAGGAGGAGGAGGAAGAAGAGGAAGAGGAAGAAGAGGAGGAGGAAGAAGAGGAGGAGGAGGAAGAAGAGGAGGAAGAGGAAGAGGAGGAGGAAGACGAGACGAGACAAGGAGGACAAATACGTAATAATAATAAAATAATAAGTTCCCTTGAAGTATGAAAAACAAAGTCCACCCCTGACAGTGACATGATAAGATGAGATAACATCTGATAAGAGCTGACGTTTGATGAGCATACACGAGGGTGGGGGAGGTTGCAGCAGATAAGAAAAGATTAGAGATGACGTTTGATGAGCATCTCCCTCCTTTGTTTTCCCTGGTACACAAACATGTCTGTCTATTTATCTGTCTGTCAAGCTCCCTGTCTGTCTAGTTCTCTGTCTCAGAGAGAGCCAGAAGACTGCATCATCACCCTTACTCACATCTTCAAGCAGAGTATAGCACTTTGTCTGGATTTTTTGGGTTATCTTAGGTAATTTACACTATGTATACGTGTATTTATGCGTACCTGTGAGACAGAGATAGACAGATAGAAAGAGATAGACAGAGACAGATAGACAGGGATAGACAGAGACACAGAGACAGAGATAGAAACAGATAGACACAAAGATAGACAAAGACAGACAGAGATAGAGACAGAGATAGACATAGATACAGACAAACGGAGATAGAGCCAGGCCGCCAGCAGCCGGCCAGCCACACAGCTGGCCACCATGCAGCTGGCCAGCCAGCTAGCCAGCCAATCAGTCAGCCAGTCATCCAGCCAGCCAGCCTGCCAACCAGCCAGCCTGCCAGCCAGCCTGCCAGCCAGCCAGAATTGTTTCTCTTGACTTAGGACATAGATTATAAGACATTCTGAAAGGGTGTTGCACAAATATTGCACATGGGTTATTATCAAGGTTTTTTGATATTTCCTCGACCACTTGTGGCCACATCCACCTCAAAGCCACTAAACTCAGGGTCAAAATCACTTTCCTCTTAAAATGGGAGTGTTAATACTACATGACATCAGTGAATCCCAGGTGTTTGCTGCGCTGTTTGCTCTAGCTGGTGCTCATTTGAACTGGTGCTCCCACAAGGTACTGAGTGGTCCCAGATTTTTTTAATACCGCGCACACTGAGTGTTAGGACCCATTCTATGCTGACAAGGCATCTCAGGCCAGTCGTGCCAAATTTGAAGGCAGGAAAAATAAAATGTATATATACGTTTGGGTCACTAGCGGTAAAATAGTATACAGTGGACCCCCAAGTTTCATGATTAATCCGTTCCAGAGAGCCTGCCGAAAGTCGAAA